AATGAGTTTAGCTACTCATGGAGTGAAGCTCAAACACCACAAAGTTCAGGTGTTGAGACTTCATCATGATTACAATAGAAAGGAGAGAAAACAGGGTAAAAGTAAAGTCAGGGAGTGTAGTTAAGTGCAGCTGACTTTGCAGATTCAGCTTCTCACTTCCCCAAGAGACAACCCTGAGTCTACCTCCCAGAGTTATACTCTGTTTTCTTCCTACAGAACTAAACTACACTATAATCTACATCTAAGTTGTATTCTGGACTTTGATGCCTTCGTCTTCATGTTGCTGCTGTCTTTTATAGAGGTTGGGGGAGAGCTCTTGCTTAGCCATGTAAGTCTCCTCTTTTCCAAATGGATTTTATGCAAAAGAGAGGAGATCCATACTTTTCTCAACTTCTCCCTTATCTCTAATCAGAATTAGGAGAGATTTAGATGATGAATTCGGGTTTAAGACACATCAATTTTCTCCCAATATCAGCAGCATCACTTCACCAACGGCTCTTCTTCCTTAGCTCTGATGGTTTGCTTCAATTTGGCCTTCTTTCCGCCTGTTTGGGCACCAAGTTTCTGCCCTTCCACGTTGGTCCCTGAAGCTTCTTCTAATTTGGCCCGAAACTTCGCCAATTTGCCATATTTTGCCCCATTTTCCGCCCGTATTGCATTTCTGTCACTAGACAACCACAAGTCACCAAATTAGCCGATAACTATATAAACCTATCTTAATTGACCTATAATTAAAGCATAAAGAGGTGAATTGTATGTCTAAAAATATAAGACGAAATGCACTCATCAATCTGTTGCGTGTTTTGCAAGGCATTCGGTAAACCGATGAAAGGATTTATTTCCCATTCAGCTCAGACAAACCGTGACTAGCACGATGCATTCAATTTAGAAAGCAATGAATAATTTAATATGTGGATTATTAATTTTCTATTGTAGTCAAATCACACCCAAACTTATTTATTTCATTTGTTATAGAGTTTTAAATGTATATTGCAGCTGCTAGTGATCGGCCTTTTAAACATAAGTCATCTATCTAGACTTAAGCTCCCTTATGGAGTTTGGAATTGTAAACAAACCTTATGCCCAAATCAAACGTGTGTTGAAAAAATTGAATAGAGGTATTTGTGATGAACGACACTTTTAAGAAGTTGGAAATTCTGAGCTTCGTCATAGTACGAATCCTTCAAACATATTTGCCTCCTTTTAAGGTGCTGGAGGATCGTGAGTAACTATTTCTAAGGATAAAACGAAGAAACATGAAAACTACTTAACACTAAGTAGTTCTACCGGGATATTGGAACTTAAAAAATATTTGATGAACACCAAGGAAAAGGAAGAAGAGGCTAAGACAAAAGTTATGAAGAATTCGAGATCCTTGGAATAAAACAATGAGCCACTATTTATTTTATAAAGAGACCCTTTGAATTTAGCTGATAAAAACAATGGTTTTCTCATATTAATTACTCTTAATTGTAGCAGAATAATTGTGAGTAAAATGTTTAAATATTTGTAACCACTCAAGTATTTCAATGAATTTATTGTGCTCATTTAAGTGAACTAATCCCACATATTTAAGGCTGAAAAGTCAACTTTATTATGACAAAATTAATTCCCATGTTAATTAAAACTCATTAATATTCTCATAAGCATTGTTAATCAATCCGGTCAACTTGGATTACACTGAAAACCGTTTGGAAAATTAATTTTAACAGCAAAAGTCTCTCTATTATTTGACTAGAATAATTAATCTAGATAGAACAAACGTGGGTTGATCAGGTTCGCGAGAGTTTGGTCCAACATTTGCACAAGTCGGGCATACACATGAGTTAAGCAACTCCGATACCATAAACTCAACTTTTCTAGTCTATCAGAAAACAATTCTCATTCAAATTAATACTTCATTTCCAACAATCCCCAACATAAATGACACATTGGTTTGACTCAATGAAGATGGAGTTCACTAATTGATCCATACAGAGAGAAAATAGGTGTTGCCCTTTGAACTTCCTCCTTGTAAAGTGTGTTTGCTCTACTAGTTGTCCAGTAGACGCAATTTCCTTTAACTGTCCAACTGTATTGAGTAAAGAAACAAGGATTTTTGATTCCTCGACTAAGGTGTACATTGATATCCTTAAGATAAATGGATATGAGTATATGATCTATGCTATTTATGTTAATTGGTTGATTTGTCTACAATCTCTGTGTATATAAGGGTTTGCATAATCTTAAGAGAAATTAATAGTTTTGTATTTTTGTAATTTATTCGGTTCAATTTTAACATGAATAATGATTTTCTATGTTGAGCGCATTCCCTATTTGAATTGATGATCTTTTATTTGAATTAAAATTGCTCAGGAATGATGAAATACTTTGAAACCCCAAGTATGATTATCCAACTTAATGCATGGAATACTATTGTTTAGTGAAAGTTATTGCACGACTTTGATGGAAAAGGCATGACGTTGATTTGCATCGATACACTAATGGAAATTGAATAACTCTATGGTGCTAATACCTAAATTTATCATGGTTGATGTATTTATACACCAAAGAATACAAAAAGTATAAATTTGCATTTTCTATTATGACTTTTCACGAGTCTCGAATTTTCCAACTTGTCGTTGTTCTTTACAAATACCCCTATTCAACTTTTCCAACAATGTGTTGAGCACATACAAACCAGTGCAAACACTGCAATTCAATCAATCATACCTATGGTATCAAACCAGGGGGAAAACATCGTGTAACATTATAGTTTCAAAAACTCTCCAAAAAAGTCCAAGATAAATCCATACCCTATTTAATCATAGTATTTTGTACATAATTTATCATTTTTTTTTGTGTTAGTTACTTTTCAAATTTGATGGATGGCTAAGAGAGCTTCTCAATTACGCAGGATAATCAATCACCACTAAATCATTAGTTATCAAACATTATAAAGCAGAAAGATTTCCGAAAATGATTGACTATATCCATGAACCTTTTTCCACGTCGCTAAACTTCACAATATCACATCACTGATCAAAAAATTTAATCAATTCACGGGATAAGGAAAAATGTATTTAACTACAGAAAAGCTTCATTACTACATTTGATAATACTAGTGATGTCTAGTCGCGCAATGCGCGACTTTGACCTAGTAGATCTGTAGATTTTAGAAATATTTGTATTTGGAAAAAATATATTTTGTATCTGACCCGATATATTTTAGAAACGTTCGAAGAATTTAGAAATGTTTTATAATTGTGATCATAGAAATGTTTGTGTTTGGCCAAAAAAGAAATTATATTTGACCCGTTATGTTTTGGAAATGTTTGAAGATCTTAGAAATGTTTTATAAGTGTTACTTATTAAATATAAATAAACTTGATCAAATATATGTCTTAAAGTAAATGTTAGACAATATATAAAAGCATCCTAATAAGTTTAAATATTAGTAACATGATTTATTGATGTACTCCATTGGTCGTGCCAAATCAATACTTAGTTTTGAAGATTTAGAATAACTTTGTAGTAAGCTTCCTCCAAAGGGTATACGCTTAAATGTTGGAACTGTTTCTTCCAAAGATTTAAAGGTAGTAAAATATCAAAAATATGGGTTTTAAACTGGTTAATTGTTTAAACAGGTTGATCACAAATATGAGAATGAAAATTAATTTAAATTTGCATAGGTTTCAAATTATAACAAAAAAGAACTCACATCACCATGGCAAATAAAATAAATAAAAGAAAGTAAAAGAGCCCATTAAAAATTGAGAAATTTTTTTTTTCTAGTAGGTAAAAATAATGTATAAGAACACAAATAAACGAAGAAACATCATTCCTTCTTCTCCACCTCAAATTCATAAAGACTTCTCCATAAATTAGTTAGAAGAAGTAACCTGAACTATTTATATGATGAGGAACTCAAAAAAGTCCAAAAATCAAATCCAAAAAAGTATATTCTTGAAAGCCCGAACACAAAAAAAACGCGCTTCATTTGCCAAAAAAATAATAACAATAACAATTGGTCAACTGGGAGTATGAAACAAAATCAAAAGCAATTAAATAAAAAAAAACACACTTCAAAACTGACCATATGCGAAAAAAACTGAGACTCCATAATTAAAAAAAGAAAACCACGCTAATTGAATGAAACATAAAAAAGAAATTAAAAAAATCACACTTTGTAACAAAAACCCAATTGATCAATTCAATCCAAAAAGAACGAAAATCATACAAAAATTCTAGGCTAACTAACCATATAAGAAATCACATCATATTACCTAACAACCGCTACGACAGCTGTAACGGGTGGTCGCATAAAAATAATAGTAATAATACTATTGTTGAACGGAAAAAACAAAAAATAAAAAAAAGCCGAACAAATGATCTGTGGAAATAAAATCATTTAAATTTTAATACCTGTAATGACACCACCTCAACGGCCGAAGTAAGATCAATGAGAATTTTGTTTTTCCTTTGTGTTTATATAGAGGTAAAGAGAATATTTCTTGAAGTTGAAATTTTATACCATTAGAATGTAGTTGATCATCATTAATGAAAAGATTGAACATGCTAATAAGAAAGGAGGATATTTCACCATATATTCTCAGTTGATAATTGATGATGAATTTGTTTTTTTTTAATTGTGGAGAAGGGATTGATTAGGGAGTCGATTGTCTTGGAGATGGGGATGAGGATTTGGGGTTTTTATGAATCCGTGAGTTTTTTTGTTTTTTTTTTGGCGAAAATAGGAGGTGGAGGTGGATTTGGATTGTATTTGATTTTAAGTTTAGGAAACTAATGTGTAAATAAAAATTTATTTTAAAAATATGATGTGAAAATGCCACATGGCAAATGGTGGTACTTTTTCTTAAGTGTGGTTTTTGTTTCTAATATAATAAGATATGGGATCATCATTAGCTCTTAAATCAGAGTCCAAGAAAAAGCTTTATAATTTGTAAAAGTGCTATGTTTTTCGAAATCCATATATACATAGCTCAAATCAAGATCAGTCTATGAAGACGATGATTTTTGAGGCCGATATTCGTGCCCAGAACCCTGTTGGCGGCTATTATCAAATCATCGACAGACTTCAAAAACAGATCCAGTTTTGCAAGCAGAGTTGGGTTTTTTATCTGAATCAGTTAGCCATCTTACAAAACCTTAGTGCCAGTGGTAGCACTAGTGATAACTCTCCTTTTCCCTCCGCCTCGGCCTCCTCCGGTGGATCTAAGGATCCTTCTTCCGGTATGAATATTCCGAATACAGAGTTTAAAGGGTTTGATCTCGGGTTGCAATCCATGTTATTTCAGCCGGAATCAGGGGATGAGTTTGGAGTTAGTATGGCGGATTTTTACAAGGCAACGTATGGAGATATAGAAGCTGCTGCACCGCTTTGTGGCGGCGTTAATCCTGCAGAGCAGTTGATGCTGGGTGATGGAGCCAAAAGTATTCAGGCGTTATTGATTAACAATCCGTCTAAAGGAATTGAATCTGATTTAATCAAACAAGAGTTTATCGTGCCTAAAAGTGAGAATGATGTAGGGAAAAACGAAGTTCAGACCAATCGAGAGACAGTATCAAATTTGTGTTGAATTCCAGGAAGCTTTATTTGTTCATCATGGTTATTGCAGCGCAGATTCAAGCTTCGAGCTAGCGGTAATTTGGTGATGCGCGTAAGTTAAGTTATGAATGACATATGTATGTGAAATTTATCTTGAAGTTTATTCCCAATGTGAGAGAGATAGTCGCTATCTCAATAAATCCGGCCTGTAGATTATAGTTTCGGGTGTTACATTTTTATAGTCCTCATATGGTAGAAGCAGAGAATAATTTAGAATGTTACTATGGATGAAATGCTAAAAAAAAAAAAAAAAAAAAAAACAGCTCAAATCAAGATCAAAATTACATATTATTAATCAAATTAAGCAACAATAAATTAATTTTAGTAGTTCAGCCAGGGGCGGAGCCAGGCCCCGATATTAGATGGGGCAAAAATTTTTGTACATAGCAATTTCGCTGAAATTTTGAGTATCCGGTTGCGGTCCAGTGGTAGCGTTGCTAACGAAGCAGCGTCTGGTAGCGATCAAAAGATAATTAACGAAAATATTTGTTTGTCAAATTAATACGTTTTAAATTCTCTTAAAATTTATCCCAAATAAACACACAAAACCACAATATATAAACAAACAACAAACCAAACAGACCCATAATTTTTTAATTATTTTTACAATCACCTAAAATGCTCAATGGATAAGTTCTATAGTGAAACTCTAATTTTGTACGCGTTTTAGCTTGTGCATTCGTGCTTAAAAGCTCTCATGGAGTAAGAATTTGATTTGGTTTGATGGAGAAATTGTGTTTTGAGTATTAAAAATTTGATGAGTTAGTGAAAGATAAGATTTTTTAAACAAATTGAAAAATTCATATTAATGTCACTTAAGTAGAACCCCCAAGTTAAAATAAAATTTAAAGTAAAATGGTTGTTTTTTTTTTTGGGAAATGACAGTAAACATTCCATTACATTTAAATTTAAAATAAACATTCAAGACACGATATTACTTTTAAAAAAATAATGACTCAAAATATTAAAGCGAAAAATCAATTTAATTTGTAATTACATATTTAATGAAACTCTAACTCTCATTCTTATATTCTCTCTTATTAAAAGTCACTTGAACATTATAACTTTTTGCCCCTAATCTTTGTAATTTTTGCTAGGGCAATAGTTGCAAAATTTTGAAATTTTATAATGTGTAAGGGACAAATATGGAACTTTCAGCATGGGCAATTGCCCCACCTGAGTATAACGTAACTCCGCCCCTGAGTTCAGCCATTACCAGGGGACTGGTAGTGATACTCATAAACAGTTCTGATTCAAGGATAATCGCTGCTTTGATTTGTAGAGTGGTCACACTAGTTGTAATGAAAGTTCCTTTATAAATATATCCCTTTCTGTATCGCAAGGCATCTTGGTTAATGCAAATAGTCTAGAATCAGTAGCGAATTTAGAATAAAATTGTAATGAAGGTACAGATATAACATTAGTTGCTGGAGAATGTTATTTAAAAAATACATAATATACACTTACATATGGAATTCGAACTTAGCAAAAACATAATAAGTTTAAACAAAAAATCACATTTAAAATAATTTCCATACATTTTTCTTATTTTTTATTATGTAATATTTGTCCTGATTAAATAAATTCTCTATTAAATTTCTTTAATACATCCCTTACTCATACCCAATAAAAAAGAAAACAACACTCTTTTTTTTTAAACAAAAAATCTATGTTTTTGTATTAAAAATGGACCACAAAATCCAGTCACAAGATTCAGCATAATCCGAACATATGTGATAGAATATATAAATACGGAAACCCTAATTAGAGTTTCCGATAGTCACGGCTAGCATTATTGTAATATTGTACTATATATATGATGTTGTACACACGTAATAAGACACGAAAAATATTCTTTCATGGTGTCAACCTCTTTCCTAGGGCCGTTCTTTTCTTAGGTTTCTTTTTTTTTCTTCTTCCTACGTTTTTTTCTTGTCTCCTGCCGTCGGGGCTTCTTGTCGGTGGGTGATCATCAACCTGCATCAATCAATTTTCTTGTCGTTGGTGCTTCGTTTGTTTTTTTTCTTAACGGCAGGTGATCATCAACCTGCATCAATCAATTGTCCACTCTGCTTGTACCATTCTACTGCGTCAATCCATCAATTTTTCTTCAACCTGCATCAACCTGCATTCTTTTGCGTCACTATTCTTTGCTGCAATCACTTCTTTTCCTTATACAAACAAAAAAAAAATTTCTTTCCTTCTTTGTTTGATCTTCTTCGTTTGCCTTTCACGTCCCTGCTGCTATGGCAAATTCAGCCGACTCCGGTGTCATAGGAACTCCATCTTCTGATCACCTTCAAACCACCCCTTACACTGAAACCCTGCCATCCACTTCTTCTCCTCATCCGGCCATTGGCCTTTCCAATATTAAGAACTACATCACCCATGTTCTTGACTTCACCAACTACATGCTTTGGAAGGAACTCTTTCTTCCTGTTTTCCGTGGTCATGGCGTCATGGGTCACATTGACGGTTCAAATCCTTGTCCACCGGCAACTCTCGCTGCCTCCGATGGTTCTTCGTCTTCCACTCTCAATCCGGCTTTTCAATCTTGGACCCAAATTGACTCTATTGTGCTCTCGTGGATTCAAGCCACTGTTTCTACTAAGATCTTGCAGGCTAGTGTTAAGCCAAATTCTACCCTCACAGCCCGAGATGCCTGGCTTACGATTGAGAAGCTGTTTCATTACCATCTTGGCTCTCGGCTTCTCTATCTGAAGCTGTAATTCCATAGCTTGAAGATGGGTGATTCCACAATCAATGATTATGTCACTCAATTGAAGATGTTGGCTGACTCTTTGACTGCTGTCGCTTGTTCCATCTCCGACTCTGATTTGGTTCTGCAAATTCTCGCCGGTCTTCCTGCTGATTATCAATCCGTCTCCACCACCATCAGCCACAAATTCCCTCTTCCTACCTTCGTTGAGGCTCATTCGATGCTGTTCTTGCATGAGGTGCAGCTTCAGAACGGGGCCCCTCCTTCTTCTCTCGCGGCAACCACGACCTTGGTGGCGGCTGCTTCACCTGGTTCTTCTCAGCAGCCGACGTCCGCTTCTCCTTCTCCGGTTTCATCCAGTCGTGGCCGTGGAAGGGGTCGCTGCTTCCAGAATTCAAGAGGCCGAGACCGTTGGCGTGGTCGCAATCAATATTTTGGTCAGTCCTCTTCTCCGTTTTATCACTCTTATTCTTCTTATCCGGCTCCCATGTTTACTCCTAGGCAGCATGCTCCCTCTTTTCTTGGACCGCCTCCTTCTTCCTCATCAAATTCGGGTCCTGTTCGATGTCAATTGTGCCACCAGTTTAATCATTCTACCCGGAATTGCTATCAATTCCAACAGCCCACTTATTTTGTTGATCAACATAATCGGCTTTCTATCCCTCCGTCTGTTGATTCTTCTTGGTGTATGGACAGGGCTTGTGGTAATACTATGACTCCCAATCAAGGTACTCTTACTAATTTCAAACCCTATCTTGGTTCTACTCGAGTTGTGATTGGTAATGGTTCAATCTACCTATTAAATCTGTGGGTACACTTCCTTGTTCTCAATTTCGCTTTCCTAGGGTTTATTATGTATCTTCACTTACCAAAAATCTTGTTTTTGTGCATCAGTTTGCAACTGAAAATCAATGTTCTATTGAGTTTGATCCCTTTGGTTTTTCTGTGAAGGATCTTTGGACAAGGAACCCTCGTCTACGTTGCAATAGTGCTGGTTCCCTTTACACTTTCCCATCCACCCTTTTGGATCAATCTCGTGCACCGTCTTCTTCATCATGTCTGGCGTTCGCTGCTTTCGTCTCTTCTCATGTCTGGCATCAATGCCTTGGTCACCCCAATTCTTCTGTTTTATCTAGATTAGTGTCACATCGCCGCCTTCCTGGTTCGGTGGTTTCCTCAAATAAATTTAGTCTTTGTCAGGCTTGTCAAATTGGGAAGTATCATAAGCTCCCTTTTATGCCTTCTACTTCGGTTACTTTCAAAGCTTTTGATTTAATACATACCGATGTTTGGACTTCTCCCTGTCTTTACTTTAGTGGTTTTAAGTATTTTGTACTTTTTGTTGATGATTTTACTCATTATTTATGGGTGTATCCATGTAAAAATAAATCTGAGGTACCTCACAAATTTATTAACTTCTACACTCTTGTCCAAACTCAATTCAATACTTCTATAAAAGCTCTTCAATCTGATGGTACTGCTGAATATGTTCACTCTCATTTTCTTCAATCTTTTCTCAAATCTAAGGGAATCGCCATGCGCATTTCTTGTCCACACACTCCTCAACAAAACGGCAAAGTTAAGCGCATGAATAAGACTGTCCTCAATATGGTCTACACCCTCCTCAATCAAGCTCACTTGCCACCTAAATTCTGGGTAGAGGCCTTAAATTCTAGTGTTTATCTGATAAACCGTTTACCTACCAAATCCAAGAACAATTTTGTTCCCTTCTCCCTTCTTTTTGGTACTCTACCTAATTATGGTGTCTTGCGGGTCTTTGGATGTTCTTGCTTTCCTAATCTATCTCATTTAGCTTCTCATAAGCTCCAACCTCGGTCCACTCCATGTATCTTCCTATCTTATCCTGAGTCTTATTTAAAGTTACCGTTGTTTTGATCCTGCTTTCAAGAAAATTTACACTTCCCGTCATGTTGTTTTTTATGAAACCTCTTTCTCATTTCCTCAACTATCTTCGGTTCCACCACTCTCTACTCCCAACTCTCGTTTTAAACATCCTTCGTTTCTCATTCCACGGTCCATTCCCACTTCCGTGTACCTTCACCTCCTCAACAAAAAGTGTCAACTGTTCCTTCTGTACATTCAGACCCTACACCTTCTACTTCCTTGTCAAATCATTCAGTTTCTCCTTCTTCAAACCCTCCCACTCATCATATGGTCACCCGCACTCGGGATGGCACCCGTAAACCTAAACAGATCCCCTCTCTTACTACTACTACAACATCTTCACTTCC